ATCCAAAGTCAGATTTTCTATTGAGATAATCCATAAAATTTCGAGCCGAGTAAACGCGACTGATTAAAAGAGTACACTCAAAAAAGTGGTATTGCAACTACAGCAAAAATTTTCTGGGTGCGCAAAATTAAAACTGAGGTACATAAATGATTAGCAAATACTGTGATATCGCATATGTTCCGCATTTAATCAATCTAAGTGACAGAGACAGAATTTATATCTGAACTGTTTGTGAAATTTAGAAAGAATGTTTTTCTGTGGCGCCTATCCATGTTAAGGTCAATCATACTTGTTAAAATGTTTGGCTGTGGTACACAGAAAAAATTAGCGGCAAGAAACAAATGAATATATAATCCTCACATCTAACATATTTGTATAACGCGCCCAATCTATCTAGCTCTTTTAAACAATTTCTCTCAATTTTTCGATGCTGCAGTTATAATTGGCAGTTATATTTCTCACAAAGATCGTTCTAGCTGTAGTATCGAAACTCATATTTATCCAATGCAGTGATTAACATTTGGCAATGGGACCTAAATTTTCTAGAAGATATTATTAGAATATTGCTGCTATAAATTCTATATGTAACAGACAATATTCTAACAGATACAAAAAATAGCGATAAAGTTTTGTTGTGACACCTAGAAATCTACCTATATCAGCAAGACATTTTTTTGAGTGTAGAAACGAACGTATTTGTGCCACGACATCTATTATGACGTCAATTATACAAGGCTGTGTGAATTATATATATATATTTTGATTTAATCCACATTATCATATAAATATTACTAAAGTCTGTCGCCAATTGATAATTTGCTCTCTCGGGAAATCGTAATATTATCGGTTATTGCGATGTTACGTGAATAACAAGGTCAGTAAGATAACGCGGCATACTTATCGATATAAGTATTTTGGTCAAAGGAGAGTGAGAAAAAAAAGTGTAAATTTCACAATTTAAAAATCTGATAGACATCTCTAAAAATATCATTATAAATAATCAATCTCGCGTATCTACTTTTTATTCTCCTGAATAAAGATGGAAACCTTTGTTGAAGTATAAAGTTTTACGGAGCAGAAAATATGTCGGGATAATTGCAATGTATCTCTTGCCCGAGATTCGCAAAGTGCCATCTTACGCGCACGTATAATAATCGTTCCGATTTATCACGCCTCGACTACACGCGATTGTATGCATTCTCACGTACATTCGGAGAGAATTTAATGTTGTCAATAAATATCACGCGGTGGACACCGTGTTCTGACCTCGACTAAAAACGACCTGTTACGCGTATACATATAATCGTATAATCATCTCTCGTGTTGCCATTATGCCTCAAAGCGTTTCGCTTAACTGGGTACAGAGATAGCGATAATAGCGAGCAAAATATGCAAGAAATGCAAAAAATGCGCGTGCAAAAACGGAATTTATTTTGGCGAGAGATGAATTTCGACAATACAACGCGGCGCACCCTCATTATTTTTATCTCAGGCTAATCGTTCTACGCCGGATTAAACCGGTATCTCCCGCTTATTCTCGCGCTACACGTTACGCGAGAGTAGACTTTCTGCGCATTTTCGCGAATCGAGAAACGGGAGGAGAATTGAAGGCCATGGCGACTATTCGCCGGAACGCGTGGGAGAGGAGAGGGATATGTCCGCACGAACACACGCGTTCAGAGAATAAATTCGATTAGAATTTCCGGTTCACGAATTATCGTCCACAAATCGGCGATTGAAATCCGGAACGAGCACAATGAAACCAGAAACGTGTTCCGGAGTCCTTGAACTTTGCGAAATTTACGATACCTCGATCATGCAGTCGCGTTTTAATCAAACGATATCAACGTCGGAGCACGTTCGTCCGAGTTTTTAACCTTTGCCTCGACAAATTGTTCGCCAAGTCTTATTCTCGCATGTGTGTTTATCTACGTCACGGAATACTACGCGAGATGCAAATTGCGCTATTCCTGTGAAATTTATGTGGAATACATCCTGTGCGAATACGCTCTTCAGATTACAGAAACTTGCATTCTTCCGGTTTGCGCCGCGTTTTTGGTTGACAAAAAAAAATTTTTTGATTAATTATAAAAATATTTTCTATATAAAACAAATTTATTTCGTCCTCTTCTCGCATGCTACACGTCTTTTCTAATTTATATCAATTATACTAAATGTCAAATGGCTATAATTTTTATTGATTTTATAGTATAGTTTATTTTTCGCTACTATTGTTTTAGATCTCGGATATGTACACACACAAAAAAATTTCTTAAAAATGAGACAGATATATAAGAACCTTAATTGAGATTTATAGAGCGTGAAATTGCTTATTCGCATCTCGCCGAAATTTTGCAATGCGTAATATACCGATGAGTAATCGGTTCCCGATCTTATCTTATCGTAATCTGTACAACGAAAAATATTTGCGTAAGTTTGGATACAAAATGCGATGAACAAGCGCAGCCAACCGGTGCAGCTAGTGAGAGCAGGGCAGGGAAGGGGATGTGGTTGCAGTATAAATCAAATGTATAAATGTGCGTGATTTAAGCGTGCTTTACTACACGTCGTGATATCTAATCATTATATTTCTCAAAAAACTCTTTTCAAGCTTTAATTTTATAGTTACATCTTCTATTTTTAATAACCTATTTCTTTGTTAATTAAATCACATTTAATTTAAATTATATCAATTATTTAAATTATTTCATTTGAATATTAAATTAAATTATTAAAAAAATAATTACAGTAATTACAATAAATTAAAAATGAGAAGAACAAATTTAAATAAAATAAAAAGAAATTTCAGCTGCATCGCGTCGCTCGTTAAAGCCACAGTAATGTAAATCGCCATCTCGTTTCGATAAAAAAGCATACGTTTGCCAAAAAAAAAAAAAAAAAAAAAAAAAACGGCACAAGCGCAATGAACAGCAACGAGCGCTGTAAAAAGGGAAAGGAGTTGGCGTGTTGCGACGTGTGTTGTCGCGCGGCGTGCAATAAAGTCAAGGCTTTCCGCGTGGCGTAACACAGTGCGATGTACCTCTGAGCGCAGGTTGATTGCACCCTGAGAATTCCTCTCTCGCACGTATATATATATAAATCTTGCGGATTCACTTTTACACGCCCGATTATACGACGCTACCTTTGACCTAAAGCTTCTGTGCTTTTTTTCCCCCTCGCGAATCGATACGCGAGGAAACAGGAATGACGTCGCGCATGGTCTCTTTTATAAGTAGCGATAAAAATAATTATATTTGCGCGCGCGCAATCTCTCGTCTCTATCTTCATAAATTAATTTTCTCCGCTAATGATAGTCGCAATTCGACGAATCGGCCGTTCTTGTGATCTTTATCTTACAGGAAAGATAAATAAAAAATGTATCTGATGTGAAATTGAGATTAATAAATTATCTTTGAGAGAATATAATGAAAATTGATATGATCGTTATGAGAATAAAAATGACAAAAAAAGGAATTGTTGTAATAAAAGTTTCTGCATAAAATCGCGACATGTTGTCTCGCGGACACGGTTTTATTTCGGGACTCGTCGAGATAAAGAGAGAGAAAGAGAGAGAGAGAGAGAGAGAGCAGCAGAAAAAAAACGATCTTAGGTCAATCGAGTTCATCGCCTCTTTCGCGAGCCCTTTGGCTGGTTAAAACGTATCGATAAATCATATTTTGAGCATGTATAATTAAAATAGCACTGTATTTCTATTAATTATTAATTCACGTTACATATTCAGAATCCATTCAATTCATATTTCTCATCCACTTTATGTAAAGCGTTTACAACAATTTATTTTAGATTAAAAAACGAAAAAAGACAGAAACCAAGATACCTCGCTATTAATCGAAACGATCCTTTATCGTGCTTATCTATCTTTCACGAGATGCTTTGATAAGAGAACGATTGCAAACAATACTTTTAATCGATTAAAGTAATGTCTTTATGCACTTCACTCTCCGTAGCATCGTGAAAAACTAACAGCAACTATCTATTCTAGTCCGCGATGTTAATGCAGACTTATCCACTAATAGCGACGATCCTATTGTAAGCTCCAAACGTAAAAAAAACTCTTTAGTAAACGAGTAATCCTTGCTCCTTAGGTGATTTTTCTCTTCGTGACTCATTCATTCGCTTCTCAATAAAGGAAGAGAAGAATTCTGCATCGCTCGCGGAGAATAAAGAAAGAAGGAAAGAAAGAAAAAGGAAGTATATTGTCATCATGGTTTCAAACCGGTTTTTTCATGCCAACGCAACCATCAACGGCATTTTTTTTTGCGCAAGGATTATTTAATAAAGTTTCATAATTTTGGATATTATTCTCTCATCTTATGCTAATTTGCTTAAGAGTACCAAATATTGCTCTAGAAAAGCATCCTTGTGATCTATTGTCCGAATATTGATGGTTACGATATCGTTCTTTAGAGTTATTTGCATAATGCGACCTTCCCTTTTACCCCTTCCCTCTCTCGGTACGAATAGAGTCGCAATAATATACTCTCTCGTACATACATGCCGCACGACTACAAAGTTCGCTATCAAGGTACGCACGTGCGATCAGGAGATTCGTCGCGGTGTTCGGTATCAAATGCGCAATTAAACCACCTCCATTTAATTAATTACCTGCGTTACGCAACCATCATTTACTGCGACATCGTCCGTTCTTCGAGTTTATCTATGTCTGCTGACTCTTACGATTCACGTGAATGTTGCACGAATTATTATTCATGTATTATCTGACACTAGAACTTGACAATTGCGCAGGCGAAAATAAATATTCTGACACGTGTGCGTGTACACGTTCTTTCTCGGATAACGTGTGTCTCGTTAAAAATGTATTTGCGCGTCAGGCCGACGATATATAATCAGCGGAGACGCGAAAATGTGTGTTTTGCTTCATCGCTGGCGAATATCGAAGCGAATATCGAAGCCAAAGACTGTCGGCGCCATTTTACGACGCGCAGAATAAAAAAAAAATATATATATATATCGCTCACTCGCTCGCTCGCTCGGTGTGTCTACCGAATATTTCTCTCGTCCTCTTTATCGTCGCCGTCTCACGATTAAATAAGTCCGCTGCGATACTTGTTAGAGCGTATTTTCGACGCGTAGGAGTTGGAAGGTCGTCGGGTTCTTAAAACTCAAGATGGGAAGAGGGGGAGAGAATGGAAGGGAAGATCGTGGGGGAGAAAAAGACGTGAGAGGGAGAAGGTGTTTTTCTCTTCGCTCGTGGCGAAACTTAAGGTCGTAAAGAATTTTTTTCAATGTGTTTATCTTTCCTGGCCACGCGCGCGCAGGAAGTTACGTCCAATTTAGAATTCGTTAACGCAATCGGAATTAATTTGCCCGAAAGAGAGATAATTTTGATGAAAGTACTATTGGATTTCACATTCTCTCCCTTCTCCTCCTTAATATATAGTTCAAAGAATTTAAATTGGCTTATTGTTTCAATTTGTAAAGCATCAAAGAAAAAATCGTGTAATTCGTTCTTGAAAAAATTTAGATACGAGTGAACACAGATATCCAATGATTTATTCAAGTTTCATTAACAGTATCGTAAGAAATGTTTTTTTTTTCAACCGATATTTTTTTTTCAGGTTTACTATTAACTTATTATTATCTAGCAAATGTGTTTTTTTTTGTATGTATTTTTGTATATAATCGTTCTTGCAAAGGCACTTCTTATTGGCGACAGCTTGCTTTGAAAGGAAACTTTGTTTTCGTTGGGCGTCTTTATTGATATCGACGATTTGCGCAGATCACACGATAACTCCCATCGAGACCCGAGTACACGCGTGTGAATCATCTCCATATAAATATTGCGTTACTCAGATCATACATGGATAATCGTGGCAGTCGCACGTACAAGCGCAGAGAATAAATAAAAGGCTCCCTGTAAAATTCCTTTATTAGACAAATTATTAAGTATATACGAACGTATACCATGTCGAAATATGTGGCTGAGAAACGCCGGCACCGGTGTTTGCCGGCCGGCCGGCCGGCCGGCGTGTCGGTTCCCCCTCGGTTACGTAACCTTCTCTCATTGCGTTGTGATCGTTCTCCTTTAAGCTCATCCGCGCGGCTCATGTTCGTTCCACATGATGCGCAAAAAACGCATGGCTCCGTCCGAAATCCATTTCCTCGAATCCTCGTCCCGCGTTTGTATGTATCCGAGGCGTGTATCTGGCCTTTGCAAAAAAGAAAAAAAAACGCGCGTGTTTGCAAAAATGTCGCAGAAATATTTGCACCTGCGATATACAAGTGCGGCGACAGCTGCGCAGTATTGCCTGAGAATTGTATTTCTCAAATCACACACAAGAGTCGAGAATAAAATTGTATACACAGTTTCTTTTTTCACAGTTAATTTCATTAATTAAAAATAATCGCTACATATTGGCTCTGTTATATGTGTCAAGCAATCTCTTATATCTAAAAAAAGAACATTCATTTTTATCTCTGATACGTTTCAAACAATGGATATTTCAATTGAATGGATAGTTTAATAAAAATATTTCTAATAACTGAATAAAATGCTGTACATATATTATGTATATATATATATGTGCACGAGAAGATTCCGATATTCATTTAAATGAATAAAAAATTGCATTCGGCGGGATAAGCTTGTGTTCAAACTGTATAATCATCGCAACATTGTGAGTCATAGGAACAGTGCGATAAACGCGCTTTCTCGTTAAATTGAATGGGATTTTAGCTCTTTAACTATCGTGCGTGAAACGAGCGATTATTTATTATTTAGCGCCGCGTTTTCGCCGCAACCAGCGCGAATTTATAGCAGCGATTATTTCAATCGGAATTATATTTTATGCCGCATTTTTTTAATGATTCGCATTCACTTGAATTTACGAGATACATCGATCATTTACACGCCGATGCGTTTATCGCGAGAGCGATATACCTTTATCGCGGTAAATGTGTCTTATTAAAATACTTTGGAACGCGATGAGGCGAGAGGATAAAACCGAGATAAAACCTGATGCCTTATGAAATAGCGAATACTTGTTTCGCGATACTCGGCAGTTCGAAATGAAATCACGCCGATTACAATTCACATTAATTAATCTCGCAAGTGCTGTCCGCTTAAGCGTCGCTTACATAGTTGAAAATATCGTCACCGTGAAAAGAATGAATAATACAATTATAATAAATTACATAGATCTTGTATTCTATCTCTTTGGAATAATCAATTTTTCAACGAATATATTTAACGATTCCCGTCATTTTTCTAATTTTCCATCCGTTGCGTATAATTTTGAATATTTTATTTGATACACGTGCGCTTTACTCTATTTCCCCTCCTCCTCCTCAAAAAAATTCTGGAATATAATTAACAGTACGAATGTGGAAAAAAACAAAGTCGATCGACGGATGTAATTTTGATAAGGCGTAATTTCCGGTCGAATCGAACGAGAGGAGCAGCGAGAAAGCAGATTCATTCACGCGAGCTCGAGATATCCGAAAAAGAAAGTCACGTGAGAGAGTTTGGTCCCATGTTGCTGGGTCCGCCGTTGGTTTTTGCCGGGCACATTCACGAGTGGACTCGTGCCACGTGCAGAAACCGGTTCGCGCGATTATTAAGGACGACCCGAGAGAACCGTCGATCCGAGAGAGGCACTCTTTTAAATTTTAGTACCCGCGCGAGAAATTTTCTCATGTCTGACTTCTAAACTTCTCCAAGCGAGATGTTATCTCTCGTAGAAACAAGGTCATCGAATTGATTAACGGCCCTTCCAACGCGCGTAAACACTTCTCTACGCACAAAGTGATCACAAATTCGCATCTCTAGCAAAACGTAGAAGATATATATCGAATTTGTTCAATAGTGTCGCGACGATGTCGCTATATATAGGAAATTTATTTATGTAGTTGTCATTATTTATTAATTTTTATTTGTTAATTATTAATTTAATTATTTATTCAGCAACAATAAACGAGACAAGCCAAATTTTACGCAAGGTTGTAAAAAATATCGCACATCAAAGAGCAACGAGATCGCATAATTTATATATATATATATAATATTTATTAATTAAATACATAATAAAGATTGTAATAAAGGTATAATAGTGAAGAAAAAACGACAGAAATGTCGGATTTAAAAAATGTTATTTTCATAACACAAATATATATATATACAAATTATCACGTGTGATTCTGCTAATAAACGATACAATTTTGATATCCTGTTGTAAACAGTTTTAATTCTCCAATAGTAGAATTTATTCATATATATGTATTATGAATTATATAAATTAATATCTGTCATATCAATTAAGAACCAAATTGAGCTCTAAATGAGAGAAAATTTTTTTAGATTATGTGAAAACGATCTTTATTACCGATTTATAATTAACGGATATTAACGATATCGATAAAGAAAAGACATCGTGTGACAGCAATATCGCAAAAGATAAAAAAAACTATAGAGATAAATAATAGTACTCACCCCCTCCCCCCCAATCTAAAAGATAAGTTTTCTTAAGACGGTTTTTTACTACCAGAAAACTTCTCGGTTGTCAGCCGATCGTTTCCGATGTGGATGCAAATGGTTACGTAATTTCGCTGGCGACCGACGAATATTCTCAAAGTCGATGGTAAATATTCCAAAGGCGAAACGGGAGAGACCAAGAGCCGGCGTCATTTCTCCTCTCGTCCTTGACCTTGAAACGCCTGAAACATCAGCGAGAATCGCGATTAAAACTATCACGATGCGCATTTTCATTCCTCTCTCTCTCTCTGTTTCTTCCCTCTTTCCTTTTTCCCTCACAATAAATTAATCGATCGCTCAATATTTTCGCCTAGATAACGCGATACATGACGCAAATCCTAATCTCTCGTTGCGTGAACGCGCGATATCTGCGTGGCGCTTACCGCGATAGCACCTAATTATTTTTATTCGCGCACGCGAAGACAAATAAGTCAAATGAGCATCGCTCGAATGATTTATCTCGCTCGCGCGATGTTAGACGTATTAGATCTGCCATGTGCGTTGGCACTGTCGTGTGTTTACGTGACGAAGTGCTCGCGTTGCGTGTCCCGAAACGATAAGCAAAAATTCGGTGAACTGGCAATAACAGTGCATCGTTGTGTGTGATCGCTGTCGTTGTCCAACAACGCAACGATTACGCAACGACGCATTGCGATTTGGGGAATTATTCATAGAAAATGAGAAAGAGAGAAGCGAATATTTTTACCGGTAGTTTTCTTCCGGAAACAAAACCCAGAAGCGGTGGCAGAAGTGGAGATCGCGGCGTAACAATGAGAAAAGAAAGGGAAGGAAGGGGAAGGGAGAGAGAAGAGGAAAAGCGCCTGGGTTATTGAATCGCTAATAGCTATTGCGCAATGGAATATATATACAGGGTGAGGCATTTATAGTGACGCGGGCATATTTTTCGGAAACGAAGTGAGATATCAAAAAATATTTTAGACAAAAGTTGCATGGTTTTGAGGGGGCCACATGATAAAAATATGGATTTGACCTTAAGTAGTCTTTTCAAGGTGAGGTCAATGTGGTCGATGTTTTCTTAAATAGAACTCCCCATTTTTTATTACATATTCTTATAGCTTATCCCGACAGCTTTCCAAAACACTATAATAAAGTATTTTTTCATTAAATACTTTTTGAGTTATTTTATATTTTAATCTGACATATTTTGATATAAAAAACAAAATATCTCGTAAAATATTTAGTTTTCGAGAATCTTACCGTAATACTTTTATGTACAGAATAATGAGACAAATCAAAAATACATTGTAAATAATTACATACTTTTTCTTAAAAACAATTATTTATTTTTACTAATTGATTTGTCTCATTATTCTGTACATAAAAATATTACGGTAAGATTATCGAAAACTAAATATTTTACAAGATATTTTATTTTTTATATCAAAATATGTCAAATTAAAATATAAAATAACTCAAAAAGTACTCAATGAAAAAATACTTTATTATAGTGTTTTGGAAAGCTCTCGAGGTAAGCTACAAGAATATGTAATAAAAAATGGGGAGTTCCATTTAAGAAAACATCGACCACATTGACCTCACCTTGAAAATACCACTTAAGGTCAAATCCATATTTTTATCATGTGGCCCCCTCGAAACCATGCAACTTTTGTCTGAAACATATTTTGATATCTCACTTTGTTTCTGAAAAATATGCCCGCGTCACTATAAATGCCGCACCCTGTATATACGACGCTCGCGTAAATAAACTGGCGTGATGCCAATCGTATCTTACCTTGTCAACAAATCGTTCGAAATACAAGGCGTAGATACTATTCCGTGTATGTAGGGTGTCCGCGACCGCGTAGATACGAATGGCGGACGAGAACGCAACCGTACTTTTCAAATTCGCTAGCTGACTTCACACGACGCGACGAAATGGTATTAAACTACCCGAAAACATCGTACAAAAATGTCGGTATTCAGAATTAATGGTACAAATTTCGGACATTACATACGCAGGGTGTCTACTCAAATTTTGTAAAAAAATTCCCTCAAAATTCCCTGATCTTCCAGGTATTTTTGTTCAAAATTCCAGGTAAAGAGAATATTTTAAAACATTTTTTGGTATACGATTTCCTAAAATAAGTTTTTTTATTGCACCCGTTTTCATTCATACAAAGGAAAAACACAAAGCCACTTAAGTTTCAAGTGCTAGATTTACAAATGTATTGAAAAAAACACTGAATAGCTTTCGATAAGATAAAAATTTTTAACTTGCACATTTTCATTTTTTATTACTAAAAATTAAAATAAAGAATATGAACTGCATATTCAATATTTTGTTAAGACATTTAATATATAAACAAAGATAGATATATATTTATAATATATTTTAAATACATAATTCACAACTTGGCTTATTGACGGATTATCTATGGCTTACAGTAAGATTGCAAGAGCAAAATTATCAGAAAATTTTTCTAAAAAATTTCCCAAATCCCAATAAAATTTCCATGAGAATTCCCTGATTTCTCTAGGTACAAAAAAATTCCCTGACGTTTCCAAATTTTGCATGTTTTTCCAAAGAATAGACACCCTGACATTTCTATATATGTACACGTAATAGTGGATAAAATATATTACACTGATATCGAAATTGTATTTAAAATCACGCGATACTGCGAACGATACAAATGTACGCAATATATACATATATGTACTGTGTATATCGCACGAACATCTGCGCTTGTCGGTTCGTTCGTATATTTACCTGTCTTGCATATCGTCGCTTAGACTCTGTAAAGAAAACCGTAGGAGCTAATCTTTACTTCATTTAAAATCCATGTATACATGTATATTATTTCAGATTCGTGTACGACATTCGTCGGCCGGCTGTTCTCCCTCTATTTTCGACGTCACACTCGATGTTCTCGGTTGTTCCACGCGCCTCTCCCACCATGACGCGCGCGTTCCTTCCCCCCACCACGATGGCGGGATACGTGTCGATCACGGCGTACGTGACCGGAGAGCGCCATGCGCGCGCATCCGCGCCGTCGAAAACATGCGACGCAACCGGCATCATTCACCGTCCTTATCTCGATTCGGTGGCCCAAAACATCATCGATGAAAAACAAGGGCGAAAACATAAGCGAGGAGAAGGTCGACCGTGCGAAAACGAAGGCGATCCTCTTTCCCTTTACAGACGGTGAATACATGCGTATGTATACGGCGTAGAGAAAACGCTGTTTCTCGTATTATTACGCGCAAAATGGCGCGGTGGAAGCCGGCGAGCGCGGAGAATCAGCGACTCTCACTCGCACCCAACTTCGCGAATATCGCTTTAAAAAAATCACTCTCGATCGGGCGTTTTAAGACGAAATAAAGATTAAAAACCGTCAAATCTATGACGCGCGAAGGCGAAACTAGTTATCGTTCTTCAAATTTATCGATGGACGTGAAACAACTGTAACATTGGTTGGAATTCGCGCAATGTATTTCTCGGACGAAGGGGAGAGGGATAAATTTCCCCTACTCTCGCTATGGCATCTGCTGCGCGAATTTTATAATCGAACGCGTCGTTATCGCTATTACACGCATCGAAAGAAACAATAACAATGTTCGGCAAACTCGTTGCGGAAACGAGTTTATTAAAAGAAAATAAATAAATAAAACAGTTACTACGATGTGACGAAAGAGACACGATTTCGAGCGACATCGTGAGAATATAAACTAAGAATATCGCGCGCGTATATCAAGTAACGCGTCATCTATGTCCGTCGCGAAAATCACCATCTCCGATTTACGTCGCGTCACCGAGCTAATAATCGTCGTCGTTTGCATCATTCCTCGGCCGGAGCCGCGATCTGAGAGCCACGTTGACTACGTGACTCGCAGGGCGTCGTCGGAGCCTCGTGATTCGCGGGCAGACGGTGGCGAGAGAGAAGCTAAAGCGCGCTTTCGCGGACGCGGTTGGGACGAGGGGAAGGGAGGCCGAAGCGACGGGCAGAGGGTACGAGTGGGGTTGGCGGGGGAGGGGGGGGGGGGGTTGTCGCGAAGGGTGTTATATAACTGCAATTTTGTATGAGTGGGAAATTACAACTAACGTGAATGTTACATGTAACAAATACGTTATATTACTTGTTACATTCCGTTTTATTATGGCAATGTTACAGTTATGTATCTGTGTTTGCTGGGCTATGTCCGTCGCGAAAATCACCATCTCCGATTTACGTCGCGTCACCGAGCTAATAATCGTCGTCGTTTGCATCATTCCTCGGCCGGAGCCGCGATCTGAGAGCCACGTTGACTACGTGACTCGCAGGGCGTCGTCGGAGCCTCGTGATTCGCGGGCAGACGGTGGCGAGAGAGAAGCTAAAGCGCGCTTTCGCGGACGCGGTTGGGACGAGGGGAAGGGAGGCCGAAGCGACGGGCAGAGGGTACGAGTGGGGTTGGCGGGGGAGGGGGGGGGGAGGTTGTCGCGAAGTGTTAGTAAGCAGAGCGGCCATCTTGTAGAGCTCAGTCGGGAACCAACTGTCGAACAGCGAGGAACGGATGTGGAAGAGAGGCCAGATGTGTTAGATGAAGGGTTTTTAATGCGCTTCCGAGCCCGATTGCCGCTACGTGCGAGAAGTTGTGCGATAGCGACGACGGAGCCACGACGACCACCGCGGGACTTTCGCGTGCGAAAAGGCCCGATACATCCGATTAAAAACCTTTAGCAGAGGGGAAGCTGCGGAGGAGGCGGCGGCGGAGAAGGAGAAGGAGGAGGTAGCAGGTCACGGAGAAGGTTCTGGCGAGAGGCTGACGACGAGCTTAGCTTCTCATCGACGGAAAGGCTTGGCCGCTTCTTGGCTGTAAGTAAGAAGGAGAGAGAGAGAGAGAGAGAGAGAGAGAGAGAGAGAGAGATACACCAGCAGAGAGAAGAATCGCGACGCCGAGAGACAGAAAGAGAAAGAGAGAGAGAGGGGAAAAAAATCAGCGCGCGGAGGAGGATGACCGACCGAGAGAAAGTGCAGTGTCAAAGTCTGTGATAGTATTTATAAAAAAAGAAGAAAAAAAAAAAACGACAACATCAGCACCTGTGAACGTGTCATCGTCGTTCGCGTTAAAAGGAGGACGAACAACCCGCGCGGATATATAGAGAGATAGGCTTTATATATTTATTTATATCTGTGATATCGACACTGATATACATCGACTTTCTTCGGGAGAAGAAAGAGAGGCGAAGACGAGTGTGAGAAAGAGAGAGATCGCTCCGAAGGGAGATTATATCAGTATCTTAGTGGATAGGCTTTTTTGTATATATACTACTGACTCTTTTTTATAATTATTGCCACATCGGTGTGAATTACGAGAGCACGGAAAACGTACGATCCGACAGATTTCTCGACAGTGAGCCCACCAGAATATTCTACGATCTCTTTCCCGGACGTCATTGTTCGACGAGAGCGAAGAGTACGTAAAGAGGAAGGAAACATGGTGGAGAAGATCCTAGAGGAGAGAGAGGACGGCACTCAGGAGGCCGGACGAGGTGAGAATAATTTTTCCTTCAAAATATTCCACGTAACTCGCGTCCTTAACGCCGACCTTCGATTTTCTTCGTATACAATTTTCATTTCTCCGAGGCTTTTCTCACCCAGCATTCGTTAGCGACAATTTTCAACAATTTTTTACATTATATATTTTTACAATTAAACGCCCTTTATGTCCGATTAAATTTCGAAAAGTTGGCCTGACAATTTAAGAGTACGATTTTGTTATCTATACTTGTTCGTTTGAAAGCCAAGTTTTTTTCGCTCATTTTCAATCCGATCTTGTCGATTCTTTGCGGAGAAAAAAAAGAAGATCTGAACTCGTTTCGAAAAATTCGTCACCAAAGTTATGGTCAAGAGTTACGAAACATCTCGTTGTATATTGATGTTTGTTTTGCGAACCGGCTAACTCAGGAGTCGGCGGCGGCCATTTTCACCGGTCGATGTGTAACGACCCGGTATAACGGGGGGAGAACGAATGTATGTGTGTGTGTGGTATGCTTTGCGATTTGCGTTTTCGAGAGAGAGAGAGAAAGGAGGAAGATCAAAAGTTTCACGCTCGAGAATCGTTGATGGAAAAAAAAGAGACGCGACGAGAATACCTTAGACAAGTGTTCGCGTTGCTTAACGATTCGCTTCTCGTCGCGGAAATCGCGTCGTGAATACGAAGTACGCGTGGAATCGACGAGAGAGAGAGAGAGAGAGAGAGAGAGAAAACTTTCTCGAAACCGGCGAATGACACTCGCGTGTCGACCGGCTATTAAACGACGAGTTATTCTTTTCTTTCCTCTCCCTTCCCTTTACCCCTCACTCCGAAAAGTAATAAAAATTAAGCAAAGTATTCGTTAATAATCCGGGACGGCCACGTTCGTTGATCCTCTCGGCGACGCAATTCCATTTGGTGTAATATGCAAACAGATTTCGTCATGCATCTAATAATCGTGACGTTGCAAACGAACCTCCCATTTGTGTCTCGATTACTGTTTTATTATAGTATATCGATTTTTTTATTGCCATCGTGAATGAGATGATAATCGCGCTCGAGATTTTTCGATGCAATAGGATGTCCGATGTAATCGAGAGTTCACCGTTTCGAGAAACTAATTGAAAATCCGTTCGCGTGAACGACAAATAAATGACAATCAAGTATTCCGCAACGTCGTTCTAATAATACACTCCTTCTCGCGTGTGTTTACATAAAAACACTTTCATATCCTGTCGAGCTCTCCTTTAATCGCTTGTCAATCGAGCGAATCGATCGCTAATTATATCGCACGTCTTTATTACTTCTAAAAGCGGAAAAGTTTTTTTCTCCTCTCAGGGGGAGAGGGAAAAAATCCCTGCGTCTAAATTATGCAATACTTTACGCGGATTATTACATATAATAAAATGACGAAACGAAAAAAATGACGCGCATTTTGCATGCATAATTATACTGTAATTCGATAACGTTTACCTCCCGTTGTCCATCAAAAGTCCGTCCGGATACGTGATCGGTAAATTCTTAATAAATATGAGAATATTTCTTTTCAATTCCTTTTCTTTTTTTGTCAGCGAAATTATTTCGCCTTTCGGATCAAATCTCGCTGATGGAAGATTTTGCGCCTTGATGCAAACTCGGGGTATATTTTCGGGGCGGAAGAAACGCGCGTTTTAGGTTTTGCAACGTCGTTTCCGTGCGACGCGTCGTTGGCACGGCGGATTATTTTTTCGGGGGAGGGGGAGGGGGAAAGGAGTGACAAAGGGGAGAGGGCGGGGCGAAGGGAAGAAGGAGAACGAAGTGGGTTAGTAGTCGGTATACACGGCGGTGCGGTTCGAGAGATTCGGCGCCACGACGTGGATTCACGACCCACGTAGGGGGAGAGACACGGGGTCGGTTGTAGGGCGATCTAACAAAGAACGTAGGGAGAGAAAGGGTCCCGGCGCGCGCATGTCAGTTCGGCGTGCTTTTAAAGGGAAACGCACACGCGATGGTCGAGGAACAAAGAGCCTCTCGCGCGAAGGTCACGTTGATCAAAATTGAAGTTAGATTAAGGATTTAATCTACTTTAGCAATATGAAAAATGATGATTTTTAGGAAGTTTTTTTAAGGATATTAGAAATTTATCTTTTTTACGTTTTACATATATTTTTATTGACGTTTAAACAGTACGTCAGTACTGTCAATACTGTTTAAACGTCAATAAAAACATGTGTAAAATGTGAAAAAGATTAATTTTTAATATTCTTCAAAAAATTCCTAAATATCAATTTTTAATACTGCTAGAATAGCCTGGGCTCTTAAGCTTTTAGATATACCTAATCACTTTGGGAATATCATGCGCTTTATCGATAAAAGAAATAAATTGATCGAGATATTCATCTGAATAAAAAGAAAGAAATTATCGAATAAAAAAAGAGACGAGCATATCCATAAAAGAATAAAAGGGATAACAAGGACGATATAAAACGACAGTATCACGGTCCGAATATACACAATCGATGACACTGTAAACAGGAACGCAATTATCTTTACGAATCGTCTTTATATACTCTTGGATCGGGCGAATCTGGCGCGGATGATTATACCGGGTGGAAAATGATAAACGCTCGCCGAATAAGCGGGCGCCAACGTTTATTCGACGGAATGGAAAAGTCGGGACTCTCATCGCGTGAATTTCCGCATCACATATGCGCAGCCTCACGTAACCATAACGGTTAAAAAAAAAAAGTCACGCTCCGGCACGTCGCGTGATTGTACTACATACTCCCTTTTCCGCCTGACCCTCTAATTGGGCGACGACGTTCGTGTAGCGTCGCGCTTTGTTCGCTTAATTTATGTACGATTATTAATGATACATTATTACGTGCAGTCGTGTACCACTTTCCTCTCGGACCTTGGTCGAGGCTAATTGTAAGACACTCGTTACGTGCACGCTCGATGTTTCGGGTCATTGTAAGATTTCCGAGACCGCGACCTGGAATATGCAATATCTATTATTTTTTATTATTGACATTTGCTAGTCTATTTATTCATTGATTTAGCAAAATATATGGGAGAGTCCATTACATCAATAAGAGGAGAAAAAACATTACATTATAACAAAATAAAAATACAAATTAGAATTAAAGTTTAATAAATTATAAAATTAAAATAAATATGTTTCAATTATATTTTCCAATGAGTATAACATTCTTATCTTCGCTATTTAGGAGATTAAATGTCCAATTTTTTTTTCAATTGCGAAAATCTCATTTACGCGTCGACTGCATCTTTACGGCTTTTACATAAAGGAAATCCTACGGTGACGATTTTCGCGTAATCACCAGCGAGCGCGCGCGCGCGCGCGGATGAAACATTATCGTATGTGTATATCACGCGTAAGATGGCGGCGTTCCTTTTCTGTGCCAGTCATTGAACTCTCATGAATTCGATGTGTGTGTGTGTGCTGCAAGTCGGCGTCGACGACAACGTCGCGTTAGCGAGACGTACGAAAATACATTCGTCGAAATTATATGATGACGCGTGGAAAATCGTCGAGATGAACGGGAGCCGAGGAGGAGAAGCAGCTTTCCCGATAATTGACGATTTCAAAGAGATTCGAGATCGGTCGAAGAGGAAGTTCTTCGGCTCGAAAATCTCGGATATTTCCGGAGAGAAAGAGAGACGGCGGCCTCTTCTGAGGGATTTTCGGAGACAGACGGGGACGGGTTCGTGCTATCATCGTCGTCGTTATGCTTATTTTTGGATCCGTGTGAAATCCGAGTCTCTCTTTCGAGTCGTTTCGACGAGCCGCGTTGGCTATTGTCTCGGTGCGAACGCGCGTCGAATGACAACTAAACGATCCGAACGTTCTCCTCGTCACGATCAATGAATAATCGATGAAAACGATTATTGAGTGACTTTTTGTTTCATCGCCAACCACTCGAGCTAAATATTTATCGCCTAAATATAATTAACTTTGAAATCAAATTGATATTTTTCTTCAAATTTCACATTTTTTATTTTCTCTCTCTCTCTCTCTATTTGCTGACGTAAATACTTTGACCGTAACAGAGGGCCGCCCCGGTGATCGGTCGTTGCGATTATCACGGACAATAAGAGAGGAGTCTCGAGACCGGCTTACAGTTACGCGTCGGGGAGGGCTCGTTCTCGATTCGGCTCTGATTTCTCCTCGACCCACGCGAGCGAGCGACCCGAGTGTGTCCGCTCTCGAAGGAGTGGCAGAGAGTCTCGGCGATGTACTTTATTATTCATCGCCGTTTGTATATCGTGCATCGGGACTCCGCCCACATAATCAGCACGCATCCTTTCCGCATCGCCCGAGAGACACCGCGAGTTATTAATACGCGTGCTGCAGTTAGCTACTGCATTATCTCGACGAACTGCTTGAACCTCGCCTTATTATCATGTATCTATATAAAAGAGTTTTATTCCCCGGATTTCGATAGAATTATCAATCCAAATGTATAACTCGTTTCTCCTTCGTAGTCGTAATTACCAAGGATCAATCTGATGAAAGTCTTAACGGAAATGGAAAATTTTGCTTTAGATAAGATTTTACATAATACAGTTAATATTCCCGCGATCATATATAATTTAATCTAAAAGGTCTTTATGATTAGCACAAATCTGTTTAACACACACACACACACACACACACACACACACGCAGACACTCGGTGATACGACGGTCGCGGAAACGTCGTAGATATTTATTTCGTAGATTGCAGCTTGATTTTTCCTCTCATTGGCGCGATACACATCTCGCGTAAATGTCCGCTGTATATCTCCGTTAACACGAGGGTCGTGAATAACGTACCGGTTACCCAGGTCTCGCCTTCGCGCGAGTGAACTTTCCCAACGCGAGAGAGGGAAACGCCGAACTCTCCGCACGAGCTCGTATCGGCGACCGACAATCGCTCATTTTTAGCTGAATTAGAAAGTGCGAAGAGACAGAATCTATTTATACACGGCGTTTGTAACAAACGACAGTCGTGCGAAATAATTGTCGTCGAATTTGATGATTCCAAGAGAGAATTTTCGAATTTAATTTTAATTACTCGAGCTCTTTTTCAATCGAATTGTTGAACGTTAAAGGGACAAACTGTCGCGTTTAAAAAATGTAGTAAAAAATAAAAAATCTTTATCGTACGATTTATTTGGATTCCAAGACTATCGGATCGGTATCTATTTCGGAGCAGATAACGGAGAAATGCTCCAGAGGTTTCGAGAAGCCAGCATTGTTATGCCAGAGCAGCTACGAGGGAATTGTTCCCATCTTCATTTATCCCGGCTGAATCGATTACGCGCTTTCCAACCGGGGCACAAAAGTACGGCCTCCTCTATATAATGGGGGCCTTCTCCCTTCCGCCCATTTCATTACACGGGGAAGCGTATTGTCTCCGTAAAATATTTGTGAGAGCCCCGAAATATTCACGATCAGAGAGAAATAAAAAACGACAATCAACGCGATGGTATCTCTTTCGCTTTTAATAATTACATTTTTACAATTTATTCCGGCGCGATTTTTCGACCTTTAGTCATCGTAAAATAACATGAGACATGCATGAATTACATAACACGTTCGACACATGTTAAAAACATGTCGAACGCATTATTCTACGATAAGCGTTGCAAATAGCCGGAGACACGTCATAGTCTATTGGGGCGATATAATTATAACAGCGCATAGGAGCATTATTTTAAACCTCTCCTCGAGACTAATGAGAGTATGGTTATTCATAAAGACAGCGTCGTCCCGATGAATGCAAGGTTCCCCCGCTTATGCGACGCGCGCGATAATCCTTTCTCTCGTAATAGTTCGAGAATAGTATCTCTTTTTTTGCTTTATCAATGGACTAATTGATTTTTATAGCGCGTCTCTTTTCCGCGGGACGCGAAAAGATGTTGGCTTTTAAACGGTCTGTATCTGACAGCAGAGAGTTATCGCAGGATGGGACGGGGATGAAGGAGAATGTGACTAACAATAAGAGCCGCGCGATGATAACGCGACGTCGATATTTTTGCAATAATAAACGATAATGTGAGCCCTCGTCACGTGTGGCGAACCGCAAGTTACTTTGTTCACAAAAATAAACACACCCACATTGCGCAATCATGTCTTCAAACACACATCGTTACGATGCACATTTGCGTTGAGAAAGGTACGGTTTTCTTAACCGTTAATCTTAAATTAGATTTATTTTGAGAGACTGTGCAGAAAATTTCTATTTATATTAGTTACATAGTAAGGAAGTTGATGGAAAATTTTGGTTTTTACGATCTCTCGTTGAGCTTTTGTTCAAGTTTATTAAATATTTTATATAAAAATAAAATTATACAATACAAAATAATAATCAATTGATTGGACAAAAAAAGGAAGAAATTTATTATTACTTTATAACATTATAGTACGCGAGAAAGATTATATACCGAACTTCAAACTAACGATAAGCCTTTGTGTATTTTAGGCGATGGCACCTGCCGGGATGTAGCTTCGACGGGGGAGTCCATGAGCGCGGTGCAAGCTCGTCAGGAAGAGGCGAGACGCAAGAGGCGCAGGAAGAGACGTTCTGGCTCATCCGTAGTATCCTCCTGCTTCCAAGGTAAATTGGAGGCACAGATCGGCGTCGAGCAAAAGAAAAAAGAAGAGAGAATTCTAGCGCTTCTTTATCTATAGAAATTTGCGTAATCATCCGGATCCTATCATAAGATAGAGAGAGAAAGAGACAGAGACCGAAAGTTACGTATAGAACGGCCGTACTTATTTTTCGATAACTAATGCGCACTCACCCTTCGTGCGTAGTGCGCCTCTTTCGCTATGGTGACTTTGCAGTAGTCTCCTCCGTAGGTATGTGTGACCTTGGACAAGTGTTCGGAACGTTCGAGAAACTCGCGCGGAACGGCGATAATCGATCGCGCAGGCGGCCTGGAATTTTACGCGGCCCGTCGCTTGTTTATAAACACCGGAAATTTACATCTCTCCTTCGCCCCTCTCCCATCAAGAGGGGTCGCAGCGTTCCCTGCGCAAGAATATTATCTCACGATGTGACAATTATAATAATGCCAGAAAATTTTTTCCCGAAATAGAACGGCGGAGATCAGCTTTTTTTTTATCCGCAAAATTTTTAATATAATCCGAGAAGAGAAATGTCAATTTATACGCGAGTTCGGTAATATTTTACGCCTCTAAACTGGTTGTATGTCTCTAGAAGAAGGGGAGATCGGAATTTAATCCGAGTTGTGCGCAGCTGGCAAATACGGTTATTCGGCCACGGAGTCGCTCGCACGATCGATACACGGCCCACGGAGAGCCACGAATTCGCTCTCCGCACGAGTTTTCGCTCTTACGAATGTTGTCAATTTATTCGATTCCCGAGCGCGAGGATGATTTGCAAGTCGTAACGTGCCGATTGTAATTAATTAATGTATTTTGTGATACACACGCTTAATATTTTTTAATCAGTTTATTAAAATAATTGAATCTTGTAAAAGAATCAAAAATTCCAAAAAGATAATCATTATTGTTTTCGATTTCGCTCAATTGTATTAGCGGGGATAAAAATAATATCTTACAAAAACTTTCGATAAGTATATTAAAACTAAATAATTGTAATTAAGGAAGTATTAAAGTTGAAATGCGCATATTCTTGGACATTATTTGAGGGATAAAAGGATTTAAACAATTCAAGTTATCAAAATTAATTCTATTTATTAAAAACGTAAGTGTAAATCTATTGTTCGATTTGAAGAATCAATACATTTCAGTCGTTTGATGAAATTAAAATGACAAGAGAGAGACTTCTAATTATATATATTAAATTATTAGAAAATATTAATTTTCAAGTCGAACGTCATCCAGATAAAATTTACATTTTCTCGGCTGATGCGTCATTTCATGTGATCGATTCGAGAGCCCCGGCTCGGCTCGAGAAACTTCCAACCCCTCTTGGAACTATACATTATATACGTGCTATTCCTAAGGTCGATAGAAAGAGAGAAAGAGAGGTTTGTCGAAATTTATATACTCTCTATCTGCGGATCATTGGTCGTTAAATTATCAAAGATAATGTTTCTTAAACATCATGTCATTAGCAGCAATTATCATGTCATTAAACCGAGCGATCGAGTTTTCATCGTAACATCATTTTCTCTAGGTAAATCACAGAAAGCTATTATTGCGCACATGCGTGGGTCGACGAACGCGCAATTTTCGCATTGGACGCTATATTTGTTCCGCTGTTAAAATTGATGTTACAGAGAACGCGAGAGGTAAAGACTCGCGGAGGCATATTATCGGCTTCTGGTTGCTAGGCGCTGGCGACGCTGCCATTCGCGTGTATCCGTATAATCGGAGCGAGAAGTGGTTAAAGGAGGGGGTGAAGAGAGAAGAGCGGGACGCGCGCGGGCAACGCGGAGACGCGGCAACGTAGGCTCGAACGGGGGTAGGGATGGACCCACGGATGGTATGAGACGCACGGAGGGTCCTCCAAGAGGAAGAGGAGGAAAGGAGCCGCGCGATAACTCCGGTCGCGGACTTCCGAGAGAGAGGGAAAATTCGGTGTATGTGCGTCGTAGTTCCACGCTCCGATCTCGGCCACCCCCTCTCGACCTTGACATTGACTGCCCGTCAGAACAGGACAACATCGCGCTGTCACGCGCGTTGCGCGTTCAAGAGAGACGCAGCCTATCTGAATCCGGGGATAATTGGGCGTAACAATCATGATGGGAACGCGTAGTCGAAAAAAAATTGATTTTTTTTTTTTTCTAATATTATTCCTGGAATTTGTTCTGACTGGCGAAGAAGACTCTTGCGCGTCTCCGGGAAAACAGATGTTCTATCGTTAGATGTCAAAGATGCGTTTGAAGAATCGTTATAAAAAAAGAGCCGTGAAAGAAAAGAGTCTCCGATGGACGCTTCGATCGATTCGATGTTGGATTCTCTCTCTTGCCAAGTGACAATACGCGACACGATGCGATATAATTGCCGTCGATCGCGTGCTCATAGAACGATGCGCAATTCCACGGCAAATGAATATCACATCGATTCATCGCGGTGAATCCATTGTACATTGGTGCATTCGCGGAATGAAAAGGTTGCAATGTTTCTCGTTCCAATAATTTTTGAGAACGCGATTTGCGAAACTCGTCAAAATGAAATCATCGAGAGCGCTCGTTTTTTTATTTTCTCCTTTTTCCTTCTCTTAATAAAACCGATTTGGTTCGAAAGATGAACATGTAAAACTCGTATTGCTGTTATAGAATTATACAAGCTGACCGGAGAAGTTCTCGGAGAGGGTGCTTACGCCTCGGTCCAGACCTGTACGTCCCTCTACACGGATCTCGAGTACGCCGTGAAGATCATCGACAAGATCCCCGGACACGCACGTGCCAGGGTGTTCAAGGAAGTCGAGACGTTCCACCATTGCCAGGGCCACCCAAATATCATACAGCTGATCGAATTCTTCGAGGACGAGGAGAAGTTCTACCTCGTATTTGAGAAGATCAACGGTGGCCAATTGTTGAATAGAATTCAGGAACGGGTTCACTTCACCGAGAGAGAAGCGAGTCAAATCGTCAAAGAGATTGCGAGCGCGCTGGACTTTCTTCATAAGAAAGGTAATTTTGAATAATAAAGATGAAATAAATTTAACGAGCTATGAGTTAAATAGGAATTGTCGAACAAAATATTGATTAACGTTCTTCTGTATGTTCTGTGTTCAGGGATCGCTCATAGAGATCTCAAGCCCGAGAACCTCTTATGCGTGTATCCGGACAAATTGACGCCGATCAAGGTATGCGACTTTGATCTTGGATCAGGTATCAAGTTCAACAACTCGCTGTCTAGTCCTGTGGCAACGCCGCAACTTTTGACGCCGGTGGGTAGCGCCGAGTTTATGGCGCCGGAAGTAGTAGAGGCCTTCATCGGCGAGGCCAATTACTACGACAAACGTTGCGATCTCTGGAGCCTCGGTGTCATCATGTACATTCTGCTATGCGGCTATCCGCCCTTCTACGGGAACTGCGGCACCGATTGCGGCTGGGGCAGGGGGGAGAATTGTCAGGCCTGTCAAGAATTGCTGTTCACCAGTATTCAGGAGGGTAGATACGAGTTTCCCGATAGGGAGTGGAGATGCATCTCCGAGGATGCGAAAGATTTAATCAGGGGCTTACTCGTCAAAGAGGCACACCAGAGGTTCAGCGCCGATAGTATTTTGAAACATCTTTGGATTAATCCCGGACCGACTTCCGTCGAAACTGGCGATCGATCACTTACCACACCTCATATCATAAGGTAAGTTTTCCCAAAGTCGAGTTTATCTTTCATTCTCCATCTCCGTCAATCGTTTTATTCTTAAATGTAACGCATCTGCATTTGTCTTTAGGAGAAACAACTCCGCTAGAGAACTCTCAGCATTCGCTGAGTCCGCAATGGCTGTGAATCGTGTGGTACTTCAACATTTCTCTCTAAACCTCGAGGAGCTGGCGGAGAACCGGGAACCCAGACTGTCTACATCGTCGACTGATGACGACAATCATCCGTACGGTCACATATCCGATTCGAGCAGCGAATTGTCCGAGAACAGCAAGCACTTGACGACGCATTCCTCTAGCGAATTTGATGGTACGCGACAAAAGTCGTGCTCCGTGCGCTCTAGCGTGGACCTAAACGATTCTAAGATCATTGGTAAGAATCGCGTCATAGGCAAGGATTCGCTGCAGAATTTGTTCGGGCTGTCACCGCCGACCGAGAGTCGTTTGATGCAGCGCCGTTTGAAGGCACGCTCCGATCTACTCGAACGTCAGACTGGTAAAGCGGTAATTGCGTCTCCGAGTGGCTGAGAGGTTGCAGTAGTACCGCCGATCGCTCTTTCTCATTATAGTATCTCTTTGTAGTTACGAGGGCGCGAACGATGTACAATACTTTTTTCCAATGGCTTAGGAAGCTAACGTGTAGCATAAGTCGAGTCTCTGATTCTGCGCGGATATAACAAGAATAGGCTCAATCCATTTACGGTAGTGACGACAGCGATAATAATCGAATAAAAAGTATTTTCGCCGCGAAAATTGATTGAAAAGAAATATCTCACAGTTATCTTTTCTTTCTTTTCAGTAGCTGTAAGCTTCCTTTGTTTTAAACTTTCGTTTTTTTAGCAGACAGTTTGATGACAACCAGATTATCTTTTTTTCCAAGATAGAATTCCAGTTGTCGCCTATTAATTGCAAATTGATTAATAACGTGACATTACAGTTGTAATATTACATAGCATACCTATTCAAGTAATATATAAAAAATGTAAAATAAGAGATATTTGTTTAGAATGTAAATCTTGATTGTAATATAATATATGCACTTGTAAGTGTGCATTGAAACGTGCACGTACATAAAGTGCGCGTTGTGGTACGTAAGGGAAACATTTTACATAATCGGTGCAAAAAAAATTAAGATAATTATATCGCAGTTTGACTTTGACATTACGCGCGAATAGGTCTTGGAATTAAAAGCAAATCTGATTTCATCAAACATCGCGTAATCTTCGCTGCGTGTTGCTCATTATTCACGCAGTCACATATTGTTACATATTGTACAGAGCTATCTACACGACACGCGCATCTAACGTTATATCACCATCATCCGCGGATGGAAAATCGACTTTCAAATATTTTACTCATCCACATGTCAACATTTGTATGCAAACGAGTCAACATTGCAAAACATCCCGATGATTCGGAAGTACATTGAGCGTCGATTCTGACGCAATCTTATCCTTTCGCTACATACCAGACACGTACGTTAAAAGACAAATACGCGCGTTCATGTGTAGACAGATTATTAACAAAAAAGAAAAGAAGAAAGAGTGAAGATCCTCGTGATCGTGATAGTTCGTGTGCTACTCTCACGCACGAATGCTTTATTACGTAAATATTCTTTTTTTTTTTTATTTGTTCGCGAATTCCCTTCAGTTAAAAAGAATTCAAAAAAACAAAAAAAAAAACAAAAAAAATCGAGACAACTGACGCAAGGCGAAAAGATGTTCCTTTTACTGCTTTTTTGATATTGTTTCAAGTATATTCGAGCCATAATATACATATATATGTATATATATATATCTTCGAACGGAATAAACGAGTGAATGTGTCTCAGCCCACAGGTGCAGATTATAGTTTGCTCATATATAGATTAATAGAAACGCGATAGATCGTAAGTCAACGCAAGATTTCAAAACGACAGTCAAAGAGTGGAAGCGCGAAAGTGGATGAAAAGAGAGAATGGCCGCTCTAGCTTCGTTTACAATTTTGCATTTTTGTGATTAAATCACGAGATAACGTTTATCGATAATAATGTTACATATTTTCGTAGAGCTTTATTGACCTTAAAATTGTTTTATATTTAACGCTAACCCAACTCATGATAATGCTTTATATATTTTTTTCTACAAGTTATTTGCATTCTAAATTTTTCTTCGTTCCGCTATTATTATGCACGAGTTGATACTTTTTTCTCTTGCTTTATTGCGTGTTTTAAAGAGAAAAAAATACATATGCAAAGAATTTCTGTCATTCACTTCTTGCTGATGCGATGGACCGATTTTACTCAGGGCAGCTGGGAGACCGCTGCGTACGTTATTCTACATAAATATATGCTCGTACAGTTTGAAAACTGGGAGAAAATATAAAGAGCTATTTGTATGTGTAAGATTTACAGAGCGCAGGCCCTCCACAATGTTAATGTCAGCGATTGCGTCAGCATTCGCTTCAGGATTTCGGGATCTTGTAATTTTGACAAAGAAGAGAGAGAAGATTGGGAGGACTGCGAATGTATAATATGCGTTTGTATATTATAATTGCATCATTGGAAACTTTCTTAGAAAGTCATTCGCTTGCTGTAGGCAGGTACGGCTTTTGTCAACTTCTGTCTTCTTTGTACTTTGTAAGTACTAATAAGATAAAAATTAGTGTTTATAGCGCTCGCGCGCGTAGAGATAATATTTTATATATATGTATGCACATATATGTATGTGTATGTTTATGTATATATGTATATACATATATATGAAAATCTCCGTGTAAATAGAAGAGCTACGATATAGAGGTATGGAAAGCAATATACAATGGGGGCTCTCTTATATAAGAGAAAATGTTGAAAGATTATAATATATTTATCGGCCTCTTTGCGCAAAGCTAAAAAAACACTTTGTTCCTCAGCCGTAGCATGTCAGAAATTATCAATCGTAAAAATTAATTTCTTCCTTGTCTTTTTCCTTTGTTTTGCGCAAAGTTCCATACAATATACAACTCATGTCAAGCAATTAAGCGTACGCTCGAAAAGCTTCAAAATTGTTCATTATCGTTTTTCTATCGGATCGCGAAACGAGAGAGAGAGAAAGAGAGATTTTTTTTTTGTATCGAGCGTGCGTGTGAAGTATCGATATAGGCTCGAATGTATAAGTGAATACTCTTCAAAAGAAAGAACGAAAGAGGAGAGAAGTAATATATATAAATGTAAGAGAGTATATAAAAGTGTATGGAGTGCAAATGAAGCAAATGTTGGAGTGTGCAGAACGTAAAGAAAAAAATATAAAAGGAAAAGAAAAAAATATACAAATGGCCATAATACGCAGATCTGTAAGCGTAACGAATTTAAGATTATATAATAAAGCGCGAGAGTATATTAGATGTGTGTGTATGTATGCGCGGATGTGTGTAAGATTGCGAATGAATAAAGGAGAAGTGTGTGAAAAATGAAACTAATTACTAGCCTTTAAGAGGAAAAAAAGCACCTTGTCGTAAGTTTATATAGCATAAAGGTACCGCTGAGTCATACCGACCAGAGTATCAGATTGTTGTTTACTTTAATCCTTTTACATTTTCACACATATATCTCGATACAAGCGAATCAATTTTTAATAGATTTTTGTTCGCTCATATACACATACATGCATCATGAGAGCTTAATAAAAATGATATAATCATTTCGAAGGTTGAAATTGTGATAATGTTTTTCGTGCGCCGTGGCTGAACCATATAATGTTTGAGTACTCGGTATAGCACAGCGGTCGGTCAGCTACATACATGCGAAATGCGAACGCTATCATTCTCATTTTCTTCCCTGTATTACGCAGAGCGAGTGTTATATAAGTCGTTTGCAGAGCGGCGGTTATAACGAAGGAGGATGTAATCCGTGAAAGACGTTGGTTCGTGTCGTGTTCACGTCGTACCCATCGCGTCCATATAGTGCGGAAGATCCTAGAGCGAGAAAGAACAGAGTCGCAATGCGAGGAAAGCGAGTAAAGATTTCGTACACTTTTTTTCTGAGAAAAGAAACAAGAAAAATGATTACGTCATATATCTTGAATGATACGCATCGCATCTTGTTCCTCTCATTTTCTGCCCGCACACTCTGTCGAGTCATTTTTCTGCCGCGAAATTCGCGCGATCGACACATATCTTTATGAAGAGAAGAGCGCATCTTCCTCTTTATGAAAGAAGAAAAAATAGAGATTTTATCAAGCACTTGTGTGTGAAAGATCATCGCCCGATGGTCTTTAATTTCAGATGAATATTCATTCTGTCGGAAAATTAAAAAAAAAAAAAAAAAAAAAAAAAAAAGAGTGTGCGGCAACTCGACACGAACAGATTCTGATCGCACTTTTCATATTCTTGTAATCGTAGTCGATATATCGATCGAAGAGTGGGATAGTAAGAGAAAAAAAAAAAAAACAGAATGTAAATAAGATTTATCTAGTAGCTATAGTGCCTATATCCTAAAAAGAGTAGATCGATAACGCTCCCTGAATTTCACCCTACTCCCTTCATCTCCCTCCCGCATCTTTCCACATTGTCCTTTCATCCTTCAAACACAAGACGTCCCCTATTCACGACCTTCTCTAAAATCAATTTTCCCTTCCCCCTATATCCTCATAATCGAAACATTCCTCATCCTCCGAACCAACCACCACCGAATCCCTTTCTCCCATGTCACACGATCCCTTCTTCCACGCGTCCCAAGAAAAAAAATTGTTATAAAACGGAAAATGGCCAAAAAATATTTTTTATTTTTCATACCCACTTGTATGTAGGATATATAACGATATATTTTTTTGACACGGTTGAGGAGACATGGAGATTGCGAAGAAAGGGAAGCGGCCGTATCGCATTCTCGATCGCTCTCTCGTTTGAAATTGTTCCGAGAGAGATATCGGGGGATGCGATAGCTTTTCTTTCATTTCTTGCGTTTGGTGCGATATCTTACTGCTTAGTATTAGACGTTTTTGTAAACCGGAATCGCTCTTCAGTTCAGCGAAAGAGAGAGAGAGAGAGAGAGAAAACGTTTGAAAACAAGGGCTAAAATCCACTTGATAACGAGCTCACGTACGATTTTCCATTCTGTTATAGAAAAATATTCAGCACGCGCATTTTCCCGTTATTTTTTTTTTCTTGTAAAGAAAATGTAACGAATTGAAATTCTTTTCAATTTTATTGTAAGATTTGACCGATAAAATTAAATTTTCGCCGTGTCATCGATATCTTTTTCATGTATGTAAACGGGAGCGATTGTCGGATTCTAAATGTTACATTGCAAGTCACAGGAGCAGTGAGCAGGAGGCGCTAATTTTTTGACGTACTTTTATTCGTATTTAAGTGGCGCGCGTTTTAGCCTAGCGAAACATGTAAATGTCGAGACTGGATATTACGAACGTACAAAAGAACCTTTATTATACCTAAACTATGTAGAACATGTTGATCGCTCCACGATTCATAATCGTCGCGTCCAAAAAAAACAAAAAAAAAAAAACAAAAAAAATATACTCGCATAAGGCGAGTTAGTTTCGATTCCCGAGCAACAATTCCTACGACTCGAATTATCCATAAATCTGATTGCGAACAACCAGGCAATGGCGTGATTCGAAGAAAAAGAAAATCTTTGTCATTAATCCTTCATGATTGATCATTAAAATGTATATTTTTTAAGATGAAATATTAAAAAATTTACTTTATTAGATATTTTCTCCTTGACACATACACATATACACGCATCCCTCGATCGCACTTATTTTTATTTTCTCAATTTATTTAGCATACGATAAAGTCCGCGCCATTGTTTTGTGATCGTTGAATCGAAACGCTCAGTCAGATTAATCTCGTTCCATCGTAATCTCAAAGAGGTCACGATATATATATAGATACAATATACGATACATAAGCGAGCATACGAGAAAGAATGTTGAATTTCTTCCGCGATTAATTCTCGGAAGGCCAATTTTATTGATAAACGGAACGCGAAACGAGTTATATTAAAGATAAAAATTAGCCAAAAAATATATTTTATCGGAATTTGAAAATTTAAATTTTGCTCTTGAGGCTCCGAGGATTAACGTTTCACAACCTCGTTCATAAAGATGTACGATAACTTAGAGGAAAGGTCTTAGCTCAAGACATAGATAGATTTGTGTAAAATCGTGTCCATGTCGAAAGAATTCATTAAAAGTAGAATATAGAGATAAAATTGAAAGATTTATAACTCGATTAAATAGGATATATCGGGGCAGATCGACTTGAAAATGATTTTTGACACTATTCCGGCAGGGACAATGTATTCGACATGGTCGCGGTTCCAGAGCACATTGACGTGAGAGATCGCCGAGAGATCATAATTAATTTCGTACGTACACGCCGTCCTTGCGCGTCGACATTTAAGTCGGCCACAAGCGTATATACGAGTACAAATCCTTTAACTTTCGTGTTAACATCCAGATATGTGGAAGTATCTTCTAACGAGCGCCAAAAGTTTTCGTCGGGAAGGTCATTTCGAAAAGAAACAAGTCATAAGTGAAATGTATTCCTATTCTAAATAGTCGTGATATTTTTTTCCCGAGATACAGTCGAACCTCTATATTATTAACTCTTATCCTTCGTTTAAATGCCTTCTCCTGCGCTGTTTTCCTTTATTTTTTGCCACCTGGTTACGTAGAATGAAAATGTTATGCGCGTAATTAAAAAAAAGAGATGACATTTTCATTTTGTGCGCATGTGCATTGGAACAAAAATAGTAAGGGAATGAGAGTAAAGTGAGATAGAATGTTAAGAATGATAGAGAAAAAGTGTTTGACACCCGATGGGCCAAAAATACAGAGGTACGACTATAATTATCCCGAGAAATTATATCAATACTTTTTACACTTTTTATAGAACACTCTGTACATCGGCGAAAGTGACTGGACGGATATATACCGTCGAATCGACGTATCCTGAGCTCTTTATTCTTAGCACATCTTTCTATTTTTAATTAGTCGAAACTCCGTAAACTTGGTTCTTTTTCTTTCACCGATTAATTTTTATACTTTAAATTGATTGCTTGATTTCAGGCCAATCATTAGAAAGAATAGAGAGATATTGCCCAGAGTCTCCCGACTTACTAAAGATACGATTATTCGATTATTATATATCCGATCGATTTCTAGTTATTGATCCATCGGATCGTTTCGTTGTTCTTCAAAGGAAACGATGCCGATTTATCCTCCTCTTGGACTAAATAAAGAGTCGCATTTCACTAGCCTCAGTCGACAACGAAAAGATCCATTGAAAGCTGAAGGATATTTTCAGATCAGTTATATCCTATAGAAAAATATTACAGCTTTGGGGATACTAATTGGATATACAATTTAAATACGGCCAATCATGAGGAACAAAAAAAGAAAAATCGGTGAGGGAAAATACATAATCCTTCTCCGGAAGAAACACTGCCGATCGCGCAACACGCTTTCTATCGTATGACAAAATGATCAGGAAGCGAACTTAAAATCCTTTTCCGGTATCCTTGACGAGATTTCAAATATTTTTCTATAAGGACTCGAGATGCTCTCCGTGATAAAATCGTAAGGAAATTCGTCCTCTATATCAATCAACAACCAGCGATCGCGTAAGAATCTACCTTGTTGACCTTTTCCGATGTTTAATTGCAGTTACATGGTTTCGAGATTAACGAGATCTATTGTTAATAAATCTTGAAACTATTCTATGAAAAAAAAGAGAGAGAAAGAGTGAGAGAATGTCATCGCACGGTGATCCTCCAATTGCTACATACTCTTCGATTACGCAACAACAGAGTTATTGTTATGTATCAGTAGCATGTCCGTAGTAACACGTCATCATGTAATGTACGTCACATCGCGAGCTTTCTCGTATCACTGTACCATCTCTCACCGCTACCGAAGTGGTGATGTAATCGATCTTAATTCTTCGATACTATACAAAGTACGAGGGACTTGAGAGAGGTGATCATGGTACTTGGCGATGAGTTAACGTTATATCAATGGCCGATTACCGAGAATTTATGGAGCGTTACGAAGTTGCGAAGCGAGTTTGATTAGACGTGATTACCGCGTACAGATTGTATGTAAAGAAACGTAACGACTGTAACGTCCTACGATAATTGCGAGTCAATACGAGGATGCTGAGAGAAATATTTCTTTTGTATTATACGAGAAAACGAACAACAAGTACAAGAGAGACTGAGAGTATGTGTGTGAGACAGAGAGAGAGCACGTGGGCAAGACCAAAACTTTATCGAGAAAGAGAGAGATATTTTCGTTTTCCTGTGCGAAAGAAAAAAAAAACATAGAGAACAGCCGCCTCTTCTCTTCTCAAAAATTTTATTCATTGAGACGTAGACGTTTAAAATGGGCAAATAGAGGCGTGAACGGAGATAGCGCGCGGATGTTAACGACGATAAGAGGTGAGGACAGGTATTAAGATTGATAAGAGGAAAACGAAAGAGAGATTTGTAATATTGGTGCGTCAGATTTAACCATTATTAGCCATATACTTTACTGGAATATATGAATTATTAATGGGAAAAACCGAAAAAATAAAGAGAGAGGCAAATATGAAAAATCGTTATATTTTTTGAAATTTTCCTAATCTATAATAGAGAAATCTAATATTCGTTCATTTTCTCGTAGCATTATTCTTTACTCTTTGTAGAGGATTTTATTTACAGCTGTCAGAAATAGAGCGAAAACGTTAGCTTGATGTAAAATTATAAGCGCGCAACGCGATTCTTCTCCAGACGAAGACGCTTTGTCACCCGTGTTTCCTTATTTCCAACAATGTTATTTCGCAGGCAATATCGATCAAATAGGTGACTCCCATACGTCGCAGCACGCACGTCCTCGACAGCCTTAACTCCTAGGCGGAGACACTCAGTCGTGTGTCGTCAGGGCGGACAATCGGAAGTTTGTCATTATATTTCCAAAAAATATGTCCGAACAGCAAACGAATTCGTACGACTCGAGGCCGGTAACGTCAAAGAAATTGGAGAGGCCACCGTTTAAACTGTGTTTCTCGAAAAAACAGCAAACCGGAAGATCCAACACTTGCATATCGAAAACAAACGGTATGTCTCAGAATCGTTAAAGATATGTCCTACGAATATGTAAAAATAAAATTGTATTGGAATTCGGCCGAAGAATCCGCGATTAGAAAGATCCGGTAATTTTGTGATGTACTGATTTCAAATGACATATCAGTAATAGAAATTTGATCAACGAGCGATTTGCACAGCTTTTTTGCGAAGCTTTCACATTAAATCTAACAGAGTTGCTTATTGAAAATTAATGAAACTCCCACATAAAGAAGTTCTTATCGCGAAGTTAATTTATAACGAGTCTTCGTAGGAATGAGATTACGTGATTTTAATCGACTTGTCAAACAAGAAAGGAAGTTCAAAATATACTCTTAAAAAGTACTCTTAAAAAGAGCATACGTTTTCACGAAGAAGAAATTGTATCGTATTATATATGGAAGATTTAAATTCATAAATCGGTTATGCATATTTGCAAATAAGTTTTCTAATTTAATAATTTTTTGTACGGTTAAAAAGTGGCGTAAATTAATTTATTGTCTTCTTAGTAAATCAAATTTTTTTTCTCCCTCTTGATTAATAACTTTCCTTTTTATGCATGCAACGATATTTAATCTCTATATTTTTAGTTTGTCTGCTGATATATATAATATTATAAATCATAATATATACAAAAAAAATTATAGAGGAATTGAAAGAGGAATTTCCTCGTTTACATGTAAATTATAAATATATTTATCCGTCACACAACTCTCTCTAATAATATCTGTTTGTAATAAAGTCGCATTTTGATTTCGATTCCCGTGAATCGAGCGTAATACAACCTGAATAAATGCGCACGCGAGGTACAAATAAATTACAGCGGACTTTGTGACTCCGAAATTCTACTCGAGGGAACTCGAGGACACTCGGAATGCAGACGTAAGCGATACGGTTGAGAGAATCGCTGTGGAACAAGATAGAAACCCGAGGAATCTTTACCAATCACCATTGTTAACCAGCCACACGTAATTTTTATTTTTCGACAATTTATCCCGTCTATTTTTTAGTCATTTATCGCTTTAACGATTAATTTTGACAATTTCCAGTTACGGTTGGTGGCACGACAAAGGGATACAGCCGAAGGACACGCGATTTAATTTTCATAAGAGAACGTCAGACCTGGTGAGCTTCCAGATGAAAATTTACGCCGAGGATCGAAATTTGAAAAGTCGTAAACAATGAACGCAGGGTATAAATCGATATTATACATTATCAAGTATTCATCATGGTATTGACGTACAATAATTGTATTTCAGTGATAATAGTCTAATAAATCAAAATATATCCTGATTATTGTAATAATATAATCTTTGCACTTTTAGGATCTTTTTCTCTCTCAACAAGTTTATTACATTAAGATTAAACATTTTAATTCTGCACATTTTAGAAAAAGAATATTCGATTTTACAGATGGATCTCTATATTTTGTTTATTTTTACTCATTTCATTTTTTGCGCACTGTTTTCTCTTACTATTTGACATTTCATGTGATTATACACACATAAAATGAAAATATTGTTATCTGCGTGATCAATTTAAGATAATAATACGAACGTTTTTTCAAGATGATAATATGGATAATACCGAGAGAGAACCGATCTTTTATTCATTTATTTATTAATGGAAAAATTCTTTTTTATATAGTAGATATGTCAAATATGTTATTATATTTCTTAACAAATAATTTATAAAATAAAAATCTTAAATATTTGTATAAAAGCTAATAATGAAAGAGAAAGGAAAATTACGACCGAATATACACAATAACTGCGGGATGAAAATTTCCCTCATCTTTCGGCGATGAGAATCCGATTTCGGCAAGTTGGCCTCTTCGTGGAGTCACGCGTGCTTAACCATGGTGAAGTTCATCATCTTTCTCTCCAAGTCGTGTCTCGTGAATCACTGACGAAAGGACAACAAGAAAATATTGTTAAAGTATCAAATTAATACACGCTCGAAATATGGTTAGAAAACACAGGTGATGGAAAAGGTCTACTAAATTATAATTAAAACAGGTACCTCTTCCTTTAAATAAGCGCACATTGACAAATTGGCAAAATGTCGCGTACGTGATAAGATATATATTAATATCTGATAATAATAATAATAATTGATATCAAATTTTCCTGGAATCGGCGAGTGTGAAGTCGCGACGAAGGAAAGCGCGCGTAACCACGGCCGTTTCGCGCCAAAGAGGGCGCCCTGTCGCACATCGCGCAGGCGCGAGCGCGCGTTTTTGCCGTTTCGATATATCGCGGCGTTCCCGCCGTTTCGCGGCCGACCAATCGGCGGCCGCAATTCGCCGCGCCGGCTCGCCAACCTGCCCGTCGTCACCCGGGACCGGGGGCCGGGGCGATCGCGGTATGTCCCGGAGTCCCGGTACCCGGCCGCCCGCTGTTGTGCGCTACCGGCAGCCGTTAGTGAATGATCGTATCGTCAGTGGTCCGCGAGAAACGATTTGTAGAGAAAAAGACGATGAACTCCGCTGTGGTTGGGCACACGCGACTCCACGAAGAGGCCAGCTTGTCGAAATCGGAGGAATTCTCGCCGCCCGAGAGGTGAGGGAAATTTTCATTCTGCGAAAACTTCTCTCATCCTGTTGCTTTTCGTGAGGAAGAGGAGGGTGGGGAGAGGAAAGGGAAATCTCAGACAGGTGTCCACCCGCGCGTGCTCGCTCGTTCGCTCGTTGCCACAGGTTAAATTGAAAGCATCAGAGCTCTTTCTCTCTCTCTCTCTCTCTCTCTCTCTCTTTTTTTCTTCCTTCCTCTCCCAGAAATACATTCTTATTTTTCTGACCTGATCTGACCCTTACACCATAAGGGACGCCACAAATAGCATCGAAAGCACGATCGATCGTTGCTGCTTTGTTGTGTTTTCGAGCGTAATATAACTCGATATAACGATATTATGGCCGAGAATTGACGCTACCAAGAAATTGCCACGCTTGCAGTTGTTACTTCAGAGTTCCCTCTTGTGTTTTCATTAGTGATTAGTTTCAATTAATTGAAGAAATTTACATGCTGGTGTGAAATTGAATATCTCGAACAAGTAAAAGTTCTGTACGAAAATAAATAACGGCATATCACGCGTATTCGGTAGACGTGGGGAACTTGGAGCAAAGATTAATCTATATAGAATATCATTTTTTTGTTGTTGTTTGTTCCTCCTTTGTTTGTGATTGTGTGAATTATAATATGTTCATGAACTTTATATTTTCTGTTATGTATAGATGTTATTTTTAGTAAAAAGATGTCTTTCATAAAAGAAAATACAATTGTATTATATAAATTTGTAAGAAGTACAGGCGATTTTTTTTTATGCGGTGAATATAACACGTTGTGATCTCTATGATTAATATCTAATATAGCTTGCAAGACCCAAGGATATCTCCTTTTTTTATCCACAGTACCTGTCCGGTTTTTTAAAAGTTTGCTGTGGGAATTTAATATTAAAATTCGGGAAATATAAGAACTCATATACATATATATTTGTAGAAAATAGTCATGAATAAAGATTCTTCTTTGTCATCACCCTGGTGGAGCAGGTTTATATAATTTATTTGTAATCAATTTATAAATAAGGCAATATGTATATGTTACACTGAAAAGAATCTTCTATTTTTGCAGCAAGCGATTACGCTTGGACGACGGGTGCAATAACAATTTAAACAGTACTGTCAACAGCGAGTCTCAAAATAGTACAAGATGGTCATACTCTGGAAATGCCAGTCTCATAGAACCTGAAATCCTAGAAGACATGGGAGTTAGTATGTTGGAAGATGGTACAGTGAACTGTGAAAAAACATCTGGAGACTGTATAATTTTACCAGCGAGTTTAGTTAATAACAAAAAATCACCGATAGATGAAGCTGACGGCTTTGAATATCAAGAAGAAGTTTATACAATTCCTAGTTCAGAAACTGTTAATGCAGAGAGGTGTGTAAGAAAAGCTATCTTAACTCGTGTCTTTTTATTTATTTTTCACTTGAATTATTCTTACAGGATACAAGATTCATGCGATTTGGATGAGTTAGCTATTTTTGGTGGCGTAGAAAATGAATCTGGCTATTCTTCGAGAATGGAAGCTGATTATTTTGGGGATTTAAAAGCAAACTTAACTAAAGAAAAGATGAATGCTTCTGCCGATAAGAATGAGCAAACTTGTTTAGATAATTTTTGTCTATTTAGGAGAAAAAGGAAACCTTCCATCGAAGGCGAAGACAAGTTTAACAAGTTATCGGATGAAATAATTTTGATGATATTAAAATGGTTACCTAAAAAATGTTTGGTAAGAAAGTATTTATAATCTGGAATATTGTACATACATATTTAACCCTTAATTGTACATATTATTTATTTCTCCCATGCAGGTGCGCTCTATGTTTGTATGCAAACGTTGGTGTCAAATAGCTCGCGACGAAGCATTATGGACTAGATTAGATCTAAGTAGTAAGGTTTTAAGCGAGGGCACATTAGGTCATATATTGCCTCGAGGGGTACAAATTCTAAGATTGGCGCAAGCAGAGATCGCGGATCCTATCTTTTGTGAGGGCAGCGAAGTTTTCAACAACTTGTACATTAGTAAATTACAATATTTGGATTTATCCATGGCAGTTATCTCACCAATTGGTTTAGCTGCATTATTATCTAAATGTAAATATCTGAAAAAGTTGTCACTGGAAAATTGTATAGTGAACAGAGACTGTTGTAAAGCCATTAGTCAAAACATTGAATTAGAAGTTTTGAATCTTACAATGTGCAAGAATATGAACATTGGATGTATCATGGATTTAATGAAGCTCAAAAAGTAAGATTATTTATTTCTGTATATATATATATATACAGGGTGCGGCATTTATAGTGACGCGGGCATATTTTTCGGAAACGAAGTGAGATATCAAAAAATGTTTCAGA